TGTAGGATGGCTTTTCTGTTAAAAACCTCCAGGGTCACTTCCCAAAATCCAAGAACCACTTCGAAATAAAGGAGGTTTGACAGTAGACGTTCACAGAAATAAGGACTAGAATGCCTTTAGAGTTCCAAATCAGTGAAATTGTGGTTTTGGATAAAAACTGCATAAAAATAAATCAATACTTGGATACAATCACCATTCACTTCTTTGTTAGTTTCAATGGCCTAATAAGTTAGCAGTGAATTGTTAATATTATTAAAACGGGGGAGAAATTCCTGCTAATCCACCACATACCAGGCCAAGATTTATCACTGGTCTGGGCCTCAACTCCGCCATCTAGGCATCAGCAACCACAAATAGGGTATGGCCACACACGTTAGACAACCCCCTCCCTGAATTGCTCAAGTGGCTGTTAGACTAAATGCACGGAAGGCAGGATCAAAGAACCACTTTTAGCCACAAAGGCTAAATGGAACCCATTTAGGATTGGAAAAAGTGAGCAGCCCACAGGGGAGAATTCTTTTTGTGGGCCAAGATCAGGCTGATGATTATGATGTTCATGAAGATGATCAGTCAAGCCCCCATTTTCCAATCTTGCATTATTCCAAACTCAGGATCTTCCTAAAAATATTTGATTAGCCACTGCTGGAGACCAGATGTTTGAGCTGAAGAGTCTTCAGCTGAATTCAGCTAGGAGATTCTTATTGGAACACAGCATTGGAAGAGACCTAAAAGATCATCAAGTCCATCCTCCCCCATACTCTTAACATTCTACCTCTGTAATCCGCTCAAGAAGAAAAAGGACATCCCTCTATCTGGGATGCTTTAATTTAAGGTCCTTCATGGAACAGGGGCATGTAGATGACCAGCCTGAACCTGACGGTTGGGTTAAACATATCATCAGCCTGGAGTCCCTACATCCCTGGAAGAGACCTAAGACAACCCCCCCTCCTGAAGTCCGCTAACACTTAGCTGGTGCCAATTTGCTTCGATCCTGTCAGATCTGCCATATTTGGCTTGGAGCTTTGTTGGCATCTGCCATCAACTATTGGGAGGGAGGAGGAGAGGAAATGGGCACTAAACCTGTATTGGGGTGGAGATGAGAAAGAGGGAGGGGGGAATGACAGGTTTGACAGAAGCCAAAAGTGTGAGACATCAGTCTTCAAGGCCAATGAAGCTCGGGAATGGAATACAAATTGCACCAAACATCTAAGCGGTTCCCAAAACACCTAGATGGCACATCATTGGTTGAAGACAAACTGGTCAATGGGGGAGGGATGAAGGGGAAAAGTCTGTAACTTTAGCAAAGCCCACACAGATGTTCCACTGGCTACTTCCAAGTGTGGGAAGGAAGGGTACCAAGCTGCAGACTGCCAAGCCTTGCATCCAGTCCAAAAAGTACCTGCAGAGCCTGCCAAGAAGCCAACAAAGCCAGTGCCAAGGGCTAGAAAGATGGCTTTGGAGGGAGTGGAGTGGAGGTCATTGAGTTCACCTCATCAACCAAAGAGAACTCCAACTATTTCACTCCGTTAAAAGTTACAGGAAAGATAATTTCAGTAGTACATACATCTTTTGTGGATCTCAACCTATCATAAGAAAGTCCAGAGAAGGGATTACTTTTTAGGCATTCATTGGAGTGGGGGATGGAGAGACAGAGGTTAGGAAAAACATCTGAGGGATCAGCTCTCCCATGAACTATAAACCAGTCCAATTATTTAGGTTCACAGACGTCAGAAGAGACTGCTTGGAATTGCTAGAAGCTTCCCTACTTAGCATCCTGGAGAGGGTCTTTTCCCATGTGGCCCCTTGGATAGGGAAAATGTTCCCCAAGTTCTGCATGCTCCCAGTCATTATCATCATCATTATCATCATCATCATCATTTTAGCCATTGTCTATCCACTGCAGGATGGAGGCCTCTTCCGCATGTTTCCAAGCAAGATGGTCCTGAGCTTTCTTTTGCCAACTGGGCCCACAATGCCTGCTGATATTGTCTATCCATCTTCTTTTGGGTTTCTTTTGTGGATGCTTTTGATCCAGCGGGATCCATTCTATGACCGCCTTGATCCACCTGCCCTCAGTTCTTCTTGCTATGTGACCTGCCCATTTCCATTCTTTGACTCTCTTGATGGCATCGGATACTTCCGTTTATTCTCTAATCCATGGGCAGGTCTTTCTATCTTNAGAGGCAGAAGAAAGTGGTGTATGGAGAGCAGAAGAGCTAATAATTGGTTTTTATCTTTCTGGGAGTTGATGGCAAGAGGAACTGATGTAATTATTACTTAATACAATATGATACTGGCTATGTAATAGTATACATGTGATTATATGTTATGAAAATGGAAAATAAAAAAAGTATTTTGCAAAAAAAACAACAGTGTATATTGTCTGTACTGTTTGTTGCAAGGAGGCAAATTGCTGGGAGGCAGATATTTTTCCCTTGTTTTCCTCCCGAAAATCTAGGTGCGTCTTATACTTCAGAGCATCTTATACTCCAAAAAATACAGTAGGTATGTCTAGCCCAGTGATGGCAAACTTTTTCAGCACCAAGTGCCCAAACTGGAACGCATGTGCATGTGCGTGCATCAGAGCACTGGAAACCTAAAGACCAGCTGGCTGACTCACGCATGCCTGTTTTTTGGCTGTTTGGGGGGGGGGGGCTGTTTTCAGGCTGGTTTTGGGGCTGAAAATGGCCCTGAAAATGGCTTGGTTTTTTTTGGCCTTTTCCAGGCTGTTTTCAAGCTGTTTTCTGGTGCTCCGGCACCAACAAAGACTAGCTAGAAACAATGTGTGCCAGAAATCAGAAGAGCAGCTGGCGACGATGTGTGTGCCCACAAAGAGGGCTCTGCGTGCCACTTCTGGCACGTGTGTCACAGGTTTGCCATCACGGGTCTAGGCTAATGTGAAGGTTTAGTGGTGACATGGTAGCTCTTCCAGTACTTGAGGGGCTCTCACAGAGAAAGGAGATGGTCAGCTTATTCTCCAAAGCATCTCAGGCAGAACAAGAAGGAACAGATGGAAGCTTAACAAAGGGAGATCCAACCTTGAACGAAGGAGAAATTGCCTGAGTGAGAGCAATTAATCAGTGGAATGGCTCCAGAAGTTGTTGATGCTCCATCACTGGAGGTTTTCAAGAAGAACAGCCATTTGTCTGGAATAGTTATAGTGTCTCCTTGAGCCAGGGGGTTGGACTAGAAGACCCCCAAGATCCCTTCCAACTCTGTTATTCTGTTATTCTGTATTTTGTATTCTATTCTTTTCCCCGTCCTAGAACAACACACTATTTTTTCAATGTGGGGACTACTCCAGTATCATGCACCAATGACAGGGTTCTAGGTTTATTTAGTACCCTTGTGGGTTCTGAAAGTGATCCCTGTATGAGAGAGAATTGTAAGGAGAAATGTGTCCTTCAGATGAAGCATTAAAATTCAGGCTGGGTGTTTGGTGCCCTCTAGTGAGTGAGAATAGCAGAGTTTGAAGGGACCTTGGAGGTCTTCTAGTACAATGCCTTGCTGGCACAGTGATTAGAATGCATTTTAGCCATTGTCTATCCATTGCAGGATATAGGCCTCTTCTGCATGTTTTCAACCCAGACGGTCCTGAGTTTTCTTTTGCCAGTTGCGCCCGTCATACTTGCTGGTGTTGTCTCTCCATCTGGTTTGGGTCTCTTTCATGGATGCTTTTAGTCAAGGGGGATCCAGTCTATGACCGCCTTGCTTCACCTGCCCTCAGTTCTTCTTGCTATGTGACCATTTCCATTCTTTGACTCTCTTTTTTAATTATTTTTTAAACACAAATATCATCTTTGCAACATTTCCACATTGTTAAGCCTCCATTATACTCTTTTTATTCATATATGTATACATCTATCTATCTCTCTCTCTCTCTCTCTCTCTCTCTCTCTCTCTCTATCTATCTATTTACACATTTTCATCTACTCATATGATAATTTATACTTGTATTTTTTCTATAAATTTTATTCTTTCAATGTACTTATTTCTATACAATACATCTTATATCATTCTATGCACATATATTTCTCTTATAATTCTTATTCTGTGCTATTTTATTTGCAATCTATCTTACATTCCCCTCCCCCGCTAATTATGCGGTTTTCTGATTTCTGATCGTTTCTGATTTATTAATCTTTTTTCCCTTTATTGCTTTCTTATTCTTTGTCTCTTTCCTCTAGCCATTTGTATTATAAATTCCATACTAAGTAATACTCAGGTTCTTCTTTGTCTTTTATTTCTTTTGTAAATCTGTCCATTTCAGCGCATTCTAATACTTTTTTAATCACATTTTCTTCTGTTGGTGTATTTTTATTTTTTTCAATTTTGTGCATATGTGATTCTTGCTGCAGTTATTACATGTAATATTTTTTTAAAAAAATTCTCATAATCTCCTATAATTATTCCTAATAGAAATAGTTCTGGTTTTAGTTCTATTGGTGGCTCAGTTTTTTGACTCTCTTGATGGCATCGGATACTTCCGTTTATTCTCTAATCCATGGGCAGGTCTTTCTATCTTTTCTTATGATGCCGAGCATGTCTCTTTCCATGGCTCTTCGTGCTCTTGTAGCAATGATGAGGTTAGTGCCCATGTTTGGGGGCCTAAGTTAGAGCAGGTAGCACATACTGATTGAAAACGTTTCTCTTCAGGCATAGGGACAGGTTGTCCTTGAAAATTATGCTTAGCTTGCTGCATGCCTGCCAACCACTTTTAACATGTTGTTCAATTTCCCGTATTGTACCACCTTTATTGTTTTCCTGTATTGTATCATGAAGAATACAGTATTGCAGGCTAATTCTGCTGACTGCCAGCAGTTCGGCAGTTCGATTCTCAACAGCTCCAGGTTGACTCAGCCTTCTATCAAAGATTGTTGGGCTCAATATACTGACTCTGTAACCCACTTAGAGAGGACTGTAAAGCACTGTGAAGTGTTATTGCTAAGCAAATATATCTCCTCATTAGATAAACAAACAGCTGCTTTTTTCCTCCCCAGGAAACTCCGCTGGCACAGCTTCCAGAACTCCCACCGGCCCAGCTTAAATTCGGCCTCATTAGAGATCAACCGCCAGTCAGCAGCTCAGCTCAGCCTCCTCCAGAAGTGCTCCCTTCTCCGCCTTACATCCATCGTGGAGAAATTCTCCATTCCCCACAAGCAGTCCTGGGCCTGGTAAGTCCATGAGACAGGAGGGTCTTCAGGCCACAGTGGATGGGTCAGCAACCAGTTGCCTCTCCTTAGGAGCTGAGGGGCAACTGAAGGGGGGTGTTGAAGAACACAGCATTGACATGTCCTCCTTTTGGATGGGCTTCCATTCCATACATGTAGGCCTCTCTCTTCCGTGTGAGGCTGCCTGTGGTTCAAGATGGCTCACAGAATTGCCAAGCGAGAAGGCACCTCAGAATTGCCAAGCGAGAAGGCACCTCTTCTTGTCTGACCCCTCCTTGAAACAGGATTAGCTGAACAATTTTAGATAGATCCAGCTTTGATTTGAAGCCCTGCATCTCATGAGACAACCTATTCCATGGATTTTTATAGTCAATATAGTCTTCAGAATATGTAAATCTACTTCTCTCTGGTGTCAACTGTTGGTTCTCTGGGCAAACACAGTAAATTCACTCCTTATTCTAAAGATTTGCTACAAATTCTCAGTTATCTTTTTGGAGACTAAACAGACCCAGATCTTTTAATAACTCCTCATAAAATGTGGTTTCCACTTTCTCTTCTCTGAACTGGTTCCAGTTGATCAGCGTCGTTTTTAGAGCGGAGCACACAATAGTCCAGTTGTTGCACAGATGTTATTTGACTCGTTCAGATCTTGACCCAGAGAATGACTAAATTATGTCTGCATGATGCACCAAATGGAGGGGCTAGTGTGTCACATGGACATGAAAACACTTAACAACAAAGGGCACAGAAAGCTCCAGAATTATTTGAGGCCCAATTGCTCTCTTTTGGTTAGAGACGATCATTTCTCTATTCCACCAGCTGGACATGAAGAACTTTATGTGGTCCTGTCAAAATAGGACTTACTCTATTTCCTTAAGTAAGATGGGCGGCATAGACATTTCTTAAATGAATAAAATAAATAAAAGAGGAATGAGCTAATATTTCTCTAAGCCATTGTGCAGGACTGATTAACATTTAATTATAGAAATATTTAGTTACCGAAGGCAAAGTTTCACATACTTTTGCCAGAGACAAATAGGTAGCTTTGGATAATTTTCAATAAAGAAATGAATGCATTTTGTTTATGACCAATTTATTTAACTGGGTTCTATATATTTCATTTTAAGTCTTGTGTGGAAAACAGATCCCATATTTATGCAGAAATGGGGCTCTACTGAAGTTGGGTGGCCAATATGTTTAAAAAGATAAATAACATTGAAAATGTTTTCAGCGCTACAGCTGGGGTGTCCAACCATGGCGATTTTAAGAGCTGGACTTCCACTCTCAGAATTCCCCAGCCAGATCCAGCCTCCTAAGTCACACTCTCTTCTCTGACAGGACTGTTCCCAAGTTCATGAAGAGGAACAAACTCCCAAATTACAGGGGCAAGATGGTCTTTGGAGTCCCCTTGATTGTCAGTGTCCAAAGGACAGGACAGCCCCTGCCCCAGAGCATCCAGCAGGCCATGCGCTATATCAGAAGCCGGTGCCTGGACCAGGTAAGGAAACATTCACACATGAGCCCTCATTTCTCGCTGGGCCTAAAACAACCTGGGGCGGGGGGGAGGAAGACATGAGGAGACAGATTAAACGTATTTGAATATTAGTCGTTTGGGTTGGTAGTTAGGTTGCTGGTTTCAGCTCCGAGCCTGGCAATTGAGTTGCAAACATTTCATCACCATTCGAGGAGACATTGTCAGTGCACTTTGAATTGTGCTTATCTGTCAGAACACCAGCCTTTAAATACCATTTTTTGTGTGTGATGCAAATTGGTGTGGATGTTGTTTATTCATCTACTTCTGAGACGTGGTCTGACATTGGACTGTTTGATTGGCTGGCTGTTGTTGCCAGGGCATGGTCTTTGGTTTTAAGTACCGTCTGTGTGATGTAAATTAATGCTGTTTGTTTGGCTACTTCTGAGCCTTGATCTGAGTGGTGGATGCCTTTTTTTGTTTAAATGCTGTCTTCGGCTTTGCGGTTGGCGCACTTCTTTCATTGTCAGCGCATTGACGATGTCTTCCCGAATGGTGATGAAACGCCTGGTGCACCAGTTGCGTCCCTACCTGAACCGGGAGGCCCTCACTACAGTCACTCGCGCCCTTGTGACCTCTAGACTGGANCGTTTCTCTTCAGGCATAGGGACAGGTTGTCCTTGAAAATTATGCTTAGCTTGCTGCATGCCTGCCAACCACTTTTAACATGTTGTTCAATTTCCTTTATTATATCGCCTTCCATTGAGATCCATTGGCCAAGGTCTATGTAATGGTCTGCTACATCTAGTTCTTCTCCATATATTATTATTTTTTCTTTCTTTAGTGAATTTATTAAACATAACCTGGCTCTTTTTCAGGTTTATTTTTAAAGGCCTCTCCTGCTTGGTGCAGCTTGTCTCTGTAGCTCTTCTGGGTCTTGTGAGAAGAGAATATCATCATCTGCAAATCTTAAAGCGATTAAAATAGACGCTATTGATTTTTATTCCATCTTTTGGCCCAGCCTGGTTTGCAAAATCCTTGTTCAAGGCAGGCTGGGAAAAGGATAAGTGATATTGTATCGCACTGTCGTATACCTCGTTCTATGTGGATTTCCATTTCAAGATCATTAAGGCAAACTGTCACCATTGTTTTTTCACCTATTGATTGTAGCAAGTTTATGGAAGTCGTCTCTATGCCTTGGTTGAGCAATTCATGGCTTATTGCTTGCTGGAATACGGAGTCAAAGGCCTTTTCGTAGTCAATGAAAGCCATGCACCGAGGCATGGTGTATTTGTGCTTTTCAGTGACTTGCTGAACAACCTGGATGCGATCCGTTGTGGTGTTGCCACTTCTGAACTCTGCCTGTTCCTTTGGCTGTGCATCATTTAATATCCTCAATATTCTTTTTGCTATTTCTTTGGTGAAAATCTTGTAGATGACTGAAAGGAGGCTCATTGGCCGATTGTTCTTTAAATCATTTTCAGCCCTTTTCTCATGTGTAAGAATCATTTCAGCATTTTAGCAAATTAACCAATTTCATTGTATTTATTGTACAATAAAGACTATACTATTTCCTCATGCACTTTCTCAGTATTTTGCCCCTGCTATTGCCGATTTTTAATTCGGCCTTGGTAGAGATTAAATTCTTTATACTCTTTTGTTTTATAACTTCTATTTCCTCTGGCTGTAAGTTGCTAGAGTGTTGCATAAGGAGAAAGGTGAGATAATAAATAAACAAAAAGAACCCAAATGGCCAGGACAGAAAGCTGCATTAGGAAGCGCAGAAAATAGGGTCCCCGTTTAGTGCCAGAGACTTCTCCATGTCAGGAAAGGCAGATCAGCAAAGTTTTAAACGTCAGCTCTGGCCGGTGGAGGGATGGATCTCCGCTCCGTTTCTCCCCGAGCCTGCTGCTCCCTTCGCTGCCAGCCCCGGGGGGTGACCTTCTCCTGATGCCCCGGGTGGGCTTCAAGCCTCCAACGCCCAGGCTTGGCCCTGACTTGAAAGGACGTCCTGGAATGGGGGGTCCAGGCGAGGCGAGGCGCCTTAGGGGAAGGTGGCGGTGCCCCTCCCTCTTTCCCACCTAACCTGGCAGGTGCAGAAAGTCCGGGGATTGCCCGGAGGGGAGGTGGGGGTCTACGCGGGTCTTTTCTGCCTCCAGGTGCAAATTTCCTAAGGAGCCTTTTCCTTTCCGCAGCGAAGATGCCCAGGCGGCCCCCTCCTCCTCCCACCGCGCCTCCACGAGCGGACCCTCTGCGGCATCTCCCTCTGGGGCAAAGCCAGCGCGCTGGATCCGCAATTCCGCCGCCTTCCGCAGATGCAAAGCCCATCTCCCCCTCGCCGGCCCCCGCTCCTCCTGGGCCCTTCTTACCGCGCGCCTCCCGCTCGGCTCCTCCCGGGCTCCGCGCCGCTTCCCCGGAAGAGAGGCGGAGGGGCTTCCACCGCGGGGCGCCTCCGCTTTCCTCCACCCCGCTTTCAATGGGGCTTCCCGACATGACTTGCGAGGCCAGGTGTGCCGCAAAGGCCTTCGGGAAGTGGAGTTTCCCCGCTGTTGCGCTCTGGCCTCTCCCAAGACGGCCTTTACCTTTGCAGGGTTAGAGTGGCGCAGCGCTCATGCTACGAGTCCGGGGATGGGGGGAGCTTTGGCAAACTTGACCCCCGGCGGTTCTGCGGGCCTGGCTCCTTTTTTTAGGATGAAGTCTCGTTTGGGGGGGGGGGGTAAACAGTATTCCAGCAATGCTATTAATCGGGATTTCTTTTTTTAAAAAATTGACTGTATTTTAACTTATTTTTCACTAACTTGAGGACTTGTTTTTACCAAGGTGCAAAGGTTTGGAGACATTTTAAAATACTATTCTTTTACAAAAGCACCTTGTGAAGTGAAAGCAGACTGGGAACAATTTTTGCCAACTGTAAAAAATCGCAGTAGAAATGTTTAATATAAGCAAAGCCACTTTTTCCAGCTACCACCGGGATCTTTCTCATCTCCTGAACTGGAAATTCTGAGTGTTTTGCTTTTATTTATGGAGCGGCCGGGGGAGTGGCTCCCAGTGGAACAACTTTGTTATATAAAGTTCCCCATACTTCCACAAAGCTTTCATATGCCAACATCCCAAACTGCCTCAGCACCCCAACTATTTCCTCCAAAGATGATCATTTTTTTTTGGCCAATGTATATTTAATGGGAAACATATTTTCAGTCAAGGAAGTTCCATACTATTATTTAGTTTAAACACGGCAATTCTACTCCCCATATTTTTGAAAGTGATAGTTGAAGCTTTATTCACCCTCCAAATAAGATACGGAATTGAATAAAGGTTGTTACAATACTCTAATTTACAAAAGAACTAAATTTTGTGGGAACACCGAATTACTGAAACAATTTTACCCGTTGTAAAATTGAAATAAAACCAGATGTTGTTAAAAAGCTTCTGACTGGACATTTTAGATTTCACAGCAATTTATCTGCTGTGAAGAAAACAACGCAACTATACTTCATATTTAAAATAACAGTGGCAGTCATCAGTGGACTTGGGAGAGAACTTATATATAGGTTGCACATACCCCATAAAGATTGTCCCACCATCCAAAAAAGAGAAGTTAAAAAATTCTGTACAGACATCCATACTTTCTCGACATCTCAAACTGTATCGTCAATACTTAAAATTGCAATCGTCAGAGAAAAGCAAAGAGAATAATCTGAATATTGTAATTGGACATGATTCAAAATCTTTTTTTAAAAAAATTCCTAGACATGCTAAGGATAGACTATCTTGCCCAGTCCTTAAAACAATTCCTGGGAGATGTTCTAATTGTATAAACTTTGTATTATGTAGCGAAATTTAGAAAAAAAAACACTCAAAAGGAAATATTTCTACTCACACTTAAACATTTATTTGAAAGCTTACATTCATATCCTGAAATGTATGTTCTTTGCCTGCTTGTGGATTGTGTGAAGCAGCTAAAGTACCACAGAAGCAAACTGATGGTTTTGAAAATCTGACATCAGGGAACCACCTGTTTTAAAAGGCTAAAATATGGATATGTACACTGTGAAAATAACAGAAGCTGCTTTAGCAACACAGTAAGTCAGATGAGATAGCAACAGACAAATCAGCATTATGTAAACAGTCATCTTTACAGAACAGAGCCTGATTCCGCTTGCTTCCAGTGTACACCATGTGCTCTGCTGCTTGAACAGTTATGAAGATGGTGCAGTATCTACTTTAAATGCTGGCGCAGAGGAACAGTCAGATAAGGGGTGTTCATTTATCCCACGTTCTACGCATTAGACGCTGCTCAGAGCATCGACACCTGGAAGAACTTTACCTGCGCATGGTTGAAAAGACACAAAGATGAGTAACTAATTTCAGCACAGCTCATTTCATCGTCTCAGAGTCAAAGATCTTCCCTCAACCCCTCACCCCCCCCAAAGGCCTTTGCTTTAAATGTTTAAAATCCTGAAGGAATAGAGGCCATTACAGAAAATTTCAAGGATTCCTGTACAACTAAGACAATCAGAAGTAAATTTCAATGATAGGTATTCATTCATATGTGTTATATTACCCAGGGATCAGAAAACACATTAACTCAAGAATTTGAATTAGCCATTCCAACTGATAACACTACTAAGTGTGTTCTCTTCGTGCATGTGGATCAGAAGGAGCAGCACAGAGGCAGCTCATGCATTCATTTCAATGGTCATCTGTTTTTGGTTTGAATTGCCCACTGACTGGTATGTACTGTGTAACAACCTATAGAGAAGGTGTCTTTCAACAGGGAAAAGATCGCCTATCACTGAACTAGCAGTTCATCAAGGGCACCAGGTGAGATATTAATCAGAAATTTTTAACCCAAATTGAGCAAATTAGATGCTGCACCAAATGTACTTTAAAAGAACAAAAATAGAGAAAAAATTATTATCTGTTCTAAAAAGTCACACCCTAATTCTCATGTTTTTTACTCATGTATTTTAGGGAGTTCACATAATGTACACCTTTACTTTTTATTATATTATATAATATATATATAACATAATATATATATACCACCACTGTTTAGAACCACCGAGGAAAACCTACATTTTAAATGCTAATCGTCTAAACTAAAGAGGACATTTCACTCTCATGGGCTCCCTGTGCAAGTGCACATTCTTTCCCCTTCATTGTTAATTCCTAGGCAACAGAGACAAAGAGCCTGTCCAGCATGGCATTTTTGGTAATAACAGTTGCAGAAGACTTTAGTTTGGCTTATTTTTCAGACAGTAAGAAAGGCAACAGAAAGACAAAACGTCTATGTATTGGGAAACAGCTTAATTACTAGAGGAAATAAAATCATTCGCAGAACAATGCAGCCCACAAAGACACAACTATAATCCCCCCCCTGCCCCGAGGTGACAGCATTAGTCTTTGCCAACAAACTAGGAATTCCACAACACCTTAAAAGTCATATATTTAACTCCATCATAAATTTTCATGCATACAATTCATCAGATGCAAATGCACCAATGAAAACTCGCTCCATAACAAATCTGCTCATGTTTAAGGTTCTACAAGGATACTTTTTGTTATAAATTTGTTTCACTTTCAAATGTGGTTTTGGATGATACAAAACTAATTGGTAGAATTTCATAGTAGTGGTAATTTCATAGTAGTATCGTAATCCAGATAATCACGTTTTAGGCTGGGCTGCATTAATGGGCCCAGTGACTGCACAAAAAAGTTATTTATACTTTTAAGAAGCTAGCTTTATTATCTTGCTTAGGCAAAGCACGTATATAAATTAAGCACTTAATTTAGCACCTAACTATAACCCTATCTTAAGCACTTATAAGAAAATCAATAGCTTAATATTTTCTGAACAAAGTTGTTGTGGCTATATGTTCTTCCTATCAACGGTCTAGACCACAAGAGCACTAGCAGCCTCCAGCCCTTTCATGGATCACTGTCTTGTCATGGTGAAGGGGCCTGCACAGCTCAAAGAAGCTATGAGCTAAGCCATGCAGGCCACATAAGATGGACAGATGATAATAAAGTTTTGACAAAATGTGACCCACTGGAGAAGGAAAGGGCAGCCCACTCCAGCATCCAAGAAAACCCCATGGACAGTACCAAAAGCTAAATGATATGATCCCAGAAGATGAGCCCCTTACGGTGGGAGGTGCTACAGGGGGAGAGCGGAGGGTGATTACAAGTGGATCCAGAAAGAATGAAGCGGCTAGGCCAAAGCCAAAAGGACACTCAGCTGTGGATATGTCTGGTAGGGAAAGGAAAGTCCAATGCCGTAAAGAAATATATATAAAGAAATATATAGGAACCTGGAATGTAAGATCTACGAATCAAGGTAAGCTGGATGTGGTCAAACATAGGTTGGCAAGATTGAACATTGGCATTTTGGGAATCAGTGGACTAAAGTGGACGGGAATGTGCAAATTTAATTCAGGTGGCCATTATATCTTCTACTGTGGGCAAGAACCCCTTAGAACAGAGGTCAGCAAACTGTGGCTCTGGAGTCGCATGTGGCTCTTTCCTCCCTCTGCTGCAGCTCCGTCACTGGTCGGCGCCACAATTTTGAGAGGAGCTTCGAGGGAGATGGGGGGAGAGAAGCACAGTGTGCCAGGACAGAACTCTATGGCAAGGGGAGAGTTTTTCAGTTGTCTCCACAATTGATAGGGCTTTCAGTTATGACAGGTAGCAGAAAAAGTATGCCACGCTAGGAGGAGATTTTATGGTGGGGGAACTGAACTTCCGGTTAGCTCCAGGATTGAACAGGGGGCTTCCGGTTTCAAACTTTGTGGTTCCCGGTGTTTTCTTTTCTGGAAATGGGTCCAAATGGCTCTTTGAGTGTTTACGTTTGCCAACCCCTGCCTTAGAAGAAATGGAATAACCCTTATTGTCAATAAAAGAGTGGGGAAAGCAGTACTGGGGTACAATTTCAAAAACAACAGAATGGTCTCAGTTTCAAATCCAAGGCAAACCATTCAACATCACAGTAATCCAACCACTAATGCTGAAAAGGTTGACATTGACTGATACTATGAAGACCTACAACATCTTCTAGAATGAATACCACAAAAAGATGTCTTTTTCACCCAAGGGGATTGGAATGCTAAAGTAGGGAGTCAAGAGGCAACTGGAATTACAGAAGCATGGAGTACAAAATGAAGCAGGGCAAAGGTTAACAGAATTTAGCCAAGAGAATACACTGGCCACAGCAAACATTCCTTTCCAACAACCCAAAAGGTGACTCTACACATGGACATCACCAGATGATCAGTACCAAAACGAGATTATTTACTTTGCAGCCAAAGATGGAGAAGCTCTTTACGGTCAATAAAAACAAGACCAGAAAATGACTGCGGCTCAGATCATGAGCGTCTCGTCACAAAATTTAGGCTTAAATTGAAGAAAGTAGAGAAAACCACTAGCCTGCTCAAGTATGACCTAAATCAGGGGATTCCAATCTTGGCAACTTTAAGACGTGTGGACTTCAAATCCCACAGTTCCTCAGCCATTTGTCTTAAAGTTGCCAAGGTTGGAGTCCCCTGATCTAAATCATATCCCTTATGATTTCCCTTACATGGAATGGATTGATTAAAGGGATTCGATATCGTAGGCAAGAATCCCTGAAGAACTACGGATGGAGGTTTGTAAAAGACCCTGAGGTTGGAAAACACAGAAGGCAAAAGGAGAAGGGGACGGCAGAGGGTGAGATGGTTAGATAGTGTTATTGATGCAATGAGCATGAATTTGGGCAAACTCCCAGAGACATTGAAGGACGGGCGACTGTTGTGCTATGGTCCATGGGATTGCAAAGAGTCAGACGTAGCTTAGCGACTAAACAACAAAAAAGCCCGTGGCAGGAATAGTGCTTAAAGCAAGCTATTAACTCATCAGGGGTAATTTAAAAAGAAAAAAAGAAACTCATTACCTTCTAGAAGTTCCAGACTGGCTCCACCTCCTGTACTAACATGGCTAACTTTATCTTCCGTATTCCATTTAGCACAGCAGGTAGCAGTGTCTCCTCCACCTGTAAAATAATTTGGACTGTTTGAGGACACACAACTGGGCTGACAACAAAATATGGCGTTTGTTGTTAAAACCATTTAAAATAAGATCCACCCACTTCCAGCCAGAGGTTCTCTCCATGTACCATTTTAATCATTCTTTGCCAGTTTGATATGCTGTACAATCCAAAACAAAATAAGGGCAACAGAGATTAGGTGGCACCGATATCACTGAATTTACCAGTGAAAGGCAATGCCCTCTTCCTTCCATGAAAGATAATTGTTCAAATTGACCAAAAAGGTAATAATCAAAAACCGACACCCAGAAGAACAACAGAAAGATTTGTACCGATAATGGTGATGCAGCCTTTGCTGGTAACTTCCACTACTTTATCCATCACGGCTTTGGTTCCTTTGGCAAACTTCTCCCACTCAAAGACACCAACTGGGCCGTTCCACACAATTTGCTTGGCTCTGCCCACAGCTTCGACAAAGAGCTTAGTGCTTTCAGGGCCACAATCCAATCCCTAAGACCAAGGGAGCAAATGAGACCATTCAGTCCTTCCTCTGGAAAGCGTAGAGAAGGAAAACACCTAGCAATGGTTTCTTCCACTCACCATCCAGCCTGCAGGGATGCCAGAGGCCAAGGTAGCTACCCCAGTGTTAGCGTTCTCATCAAATTTGTCTGCAGTGATAAAGTCGACAGGCAAAGTGATACGGACACCGTTCTTCTCAGCTTTGGCCATCAGGTCTTTGACTATTTTTGATCCTTCTTCATCAAACAAAGAGTTGCCAATCTGGAAGAAACAAAGAACGCACGTTCAGTGGCAGCTAAATGAAGGTGCCAGCTGCAATGAAATCAATGAGTGCCACAAAAGACCCTTGCAAATATGTGTTCTTAAAGAATGAAGGAAAAGGGGGGAATATGATCAAAATCTTTAAATATACAGTATTAAGGATCTAGAAGGCAGTATTTTCAATAATAAGCAAAATTCAAGAACATCGGAGCATAACCTCAAACTGACAGAAGTTCAAAAGTAATGTTAGAAAGTATTACTTCACAGAAAGAGTGATGGAAGACTGGAACAAACTTCTAATGAAGCTGATGGATCAATCATCAATAACTGAGTTTAAACATGCTTGGAACAAACATATCCATGTTTATTATTAAAAAAAATAAATTTGAACTTAGAAGGCAGATTTGCTGGACCACTACCGTGTTTCCCCCAAAATAAGACAGGCTCTTATTTTCTTTCGACCCCCAAAATAAACACTTATTTTCGGGGAGGTCTTATTAGGTCACCTCATGGCTGCAACTGTGTTGCAATATTTTCTCAAAAGCTCGAGTGGGCTTATTATCTGGGGAGGTCTTATTTTCAGGGAAACAGGCTAGGTGTTTTGCTGTCATAGAATGTCTATGAAGATTCTCACTTATCCCGGTCATAGTTGCATCAAAAGTGGATTTTTATTTTGAAAAGGCAACTGGAAAAACATAATGTTTCGCTATCTATCCTGGAAGCTTCCTGGATGCTGTGGGAGATGGAAGGAAAATTAGTGACAGTTCAAATGAGTAGGTTCTGACAGGATGGTTGGGAGCGGGGAAGAAATGGAAAAGGAAAGTTTTCCTTCTTTGTGGATTTTGGGGAATCCATATATTTTATAAGAAAATGGTCATCAATTTCCTGCAAAAACTACTTAAGGACAATGCAACTGACAAGCCACAATACTTTCGCCTTTACCCTGAGTCCATACATATATGGACTCCCCCAAATCCACAGAGAGGGAAATCCACTCACACCAATTGTCAGCAGCATCAACTCTTGTCACCTACAACAATGCAAAACATCTAAATTATTGGCTCCTTTGGTTGGCAATACCACCCATCACATCAACAATTCACAGGACTTTGTCAGCAAGGTTTGGAAACTAAAATTGGATCCAGATGAAACTATGGTTTCTTATGGTGTGACCTCACTCTTCTTCACCCGCATCCCAACAACTGAAGCTGTCCCGAGACAGCACATTAAGTGACATAACCAACCTCAGCTCAGACCACCTAGGTGCCATGTTGGGCCTCTGTCTGACCACTACCTATTTTAAATACAATGAGGGTTTCTACAAACAAAAACACGGTTGCGTCATGAGTTCACCTGTGTCTCCCATTGTGGCAAATTTGTACATGGAAGAGGTAGAAACCAAACCCAGGAATTTCACCAACTCACTGCTATGTGGTTGATACTTGGGTCAAGATTAAAACGCAGGAAGTGGAATCCTTCACCAAACACATCCACTCTGTGGACAGGTACCATTGGGAAGATGTTAAGGAAAACTGTCTGATTTTCCTGGATTGTGCTGTACACATTAAGGAAGACTAGAAGCCTTAATATTGAAGTTTACAAAAAACCAACACACACTGATCAGTGTTTGCATTTTAATTCTCACTACCCACTAGAACAGTGATGGCTAACATTTCCAGACAGAGTGCCCAAAGCGCGCCCAAACCCCCAAAATGCAATGCACCCCCCACGCATGCATGCACTTGACCCCACAGATGCGCCCTATCCCCCTACAAATGCATGGGTGCACCCCCACACATGCCCCACCCCCCACAAATGCATGTGCAACCTCGCGTGCTCTGCCCTTTTGCATGTGCTGCAGAGACGCACACATATGCGCATTGGAGCTGAACGGCTTGTATGCCACCAGAGGGGGCACTGCGTGCCATAGGTTTGCCATCAAGGCACTAGAACACAAATTGGGGGTGATCAGAACCCCTGGCCATCGGGCTGAAAGGTTTGCCTACTAGTAAAGAGGGAAAAGAGAAAGAACTAAAACGCAACCAGGAATCCCTGAGAATTTGTTTCTATCCTAGCTGGGCCTTCATCAAATCCAAAAAAAGACCCACATGAGCTCCTCTATTACAGGCAAGGGAGAGTGACAAACAAAGCAAAACTGTTCTATATGTTGCTAGAATATCTGAAAAACTGTACAGTGCAGTGAGACGAGTGCAGATCTGTCCATTGGTGAAACAAAGCAACCACTTCAGAAGCACATGGCACAACATGGGAGATTGAACTCACCAGGACAAGATGCAGTTGTCCATCTGCATTTGAAAGAGAAGGGCCATTCTTTTGAAGATAGCCAAGTCCACAGTTTGGATAGGGGGGACCACAGGTTTGAAAGAGGGGTCAAAGAGGCCATTTAAGTTAACACTGAGCAGCCCTCTCTCAGGAGAGGAAGAAGGATAAGATACTCCCTACCCCAATTTACAATGCAGTCCTTTAGGTTGTTCCAAGAAGATTCCACACCTCTGATTTAGGTGAGACTGAATCACAGATCCCCCCGCCCCCCAGTAACCACAATGGCTTTCAGAGAGTGATAAGAACCAGTTGACTGCAAAAACAAAACAAAGCACCCCCCCTCCTCAAATTGTGTCCCACCAACAAATCTCAACTGTCAAGAACTGTCCTATTTCTCACATCATCCAATACAACTGATGAAACTTCCAAGATAGGAAGCAAAAAAATTTGGTTTCCAAAATCAGTCAAATTGCCTTTTCAAAATAAAAAAACATTTTAAATAAGTTTTCTGTCATCAGTTTTCTATGTTTCTATGAAGTGACTGGTGGCAGATAGGAAGTAAGAAGCTGAAGAAAATCATTTTCAGTGTGACTTCTGAAAGTTCAGATCTAAATTAGGAGTGTTACAGTAGCTTGGTCAAAGAAGCAATATTAGTGAAAGATGAACATATGAAAAAAAAGAAGACCAGGGGAAATTGTCATTTAAGCATATGGCCAACAACTGACTAAATATTTAACACTGATTAATACAAAGAATTGTTCCTATATATTTACTTTTCTCAACTAAAGACAATGTTTTAGTACACAGAGCCACTTGGCTGAGATGGACACCTGTAGAAATTAAATAAATAAATACCTCCATATTGTTGAGTACTTTGAGGAAGGTGAAGGCCATTCCACCACCAATAATCATCTCATTGACCTTATCCAGCATGTTATTGATTAGCTGAATCTTATCCTGAACCTTAGCTCTAACGAGCAGGGGGGAGAAAAAGAGATCCAGAGTTGTTAAATGTTTCTGTGGAATATTGGAAATAAAAATACTTGACAAAGAAAACAGCTAATTAGACTGTAGAAACACTATGAAAACCATTTCATGTTTCATTGTTAAATGGGAGAAACATGTGAACTCATTTACTCTTTTGACTTATATTAAGTAAAGCTTAAAATAGAGAGAAAGGCATTACACAGACACACATCCATAGACCTGGCTCTGTTTCAAGTCAAAAGGATGGAAGCTCTAAATTCATTTAACACATCCATTCTCCACTCTGGTTTGAAAAATCAAAATATGAATTATCAATACAAATAATTTATAATTATCCAAAATGTATTGAGGTAGGTAGATCCCTAACCCTGTTGTTCCAATCCCTTTCACAGAATGAGTTATTACTGTGGTTCTTTGGATGAAGAAACGTACTAAAGGTTGGACTTTTTTTCCCACCCTCTCCTCTCTGAAAGCTCTTAGCTGTGCTAGGCTGCCCTCTCCTGCCCAAGTGTCTTACTCTGGTAATCAGCAGCTGAAGCTGCAAGGGCCAAATCCGGACTAAGCTGATCTCTACCCCGTTTCTCTCATAAGCTGCCTGTAATAAAGCAATTCTGGAAATCTACTCCAGATAGCCAGAATTATGGATTTCTGTTTCTCCAAAATAAAATATAACCAGGAAAGCCACGTTGTTTCCTAAGAGCAATTCTTTAATATCTCTATTGGCAAATGGTTTAAACACAACCACAGGACTCTATACTATCGTACCTTTGATTTCGAACTACTGTGAATTCTTTTATTTCCTCCTAATTATATTTTATTTTAGGCTTGTATTTTCTTTAAAGTTATTATTACAACAATTAATAACTATTTAATTATTACCAGTCTAATACTCTATTTGGGTTTCAGTTCCGCAGCTGCTATTTTGTACACTGTGGGGTGCCAGAGGAGATGACTGTGGCAATGGACTCTGTTGATGGACAGGATGTGCAGACAACCAGATCCAAGTGGCCAAATAGGCAAAATAGTGGCTTGCTCAGAAACCGACACTGATCGTTCAGGATGCCTTTTATCTAGAAAATACCAGCGCAAGATCTTTCCAGGGGGAATGGGACAACTTGCCATAGGTAACTCGCTGCGCCCAAATCACCACAGGCAACTTGGTGCAGGAGAACTTGCCATGGCCAAGTCACCGTGAGGCAACTCATTGTGCGACAACTTAATAATTCTATTTAATCATTTAAAATAAATAAAAAAATATTTTAATTTTTGCCATTCCAATTTCATTCTGTCCCTCCATTCCATCCTTTCTTTAATGATTCTATTCCATCATTTTTTCGCTATTAGTGTAACTCTTGCCCTGCAATGAGTTGTCCTGTGGCAAGATGGCCGTGGTGAGTTGTCATAAACCCTTTCCGGATGGTACTAAGATTGCCACCAGTGTTGTTAGACAAAGGCAGGTTAAGAGCACTGGTTATTTCTGCTAGAGGAGCCTGGGGCATGTTGCACACCATCCCTATGTGCCCATCCAGTGGAGTCCCTCCACCTATTGCTCAACTGATGCCTGAGGTGGAAAAGACACTCGGCCATGGATCTTCTAAGCCTTGGGAATAGACCCAAATGACTCCTGCACTTTAGCTCAGTGGTGGGTTGCAGGCGGTACGTCCTGGTAGGGGCGTACCAGAGCCTGCCCGGAGCACTGGATACTGTTCTAGTATGGTGCTCCGGAGAGTCCATCCTCCCACCCGAGCTCCTTACCGGTCTTTTAAGTCTTTGGCGCTTCTCTGCAGTGCGTACAACGCCTGCACTCCACTCTGCGGAGCAGCTGGTGCATCACAGAGGCGCTAAGACACATGTGCGTATTGCACGTGTGTGCACACGCACTGTGTGTGTCCATGTGGATGCCGCCAGGCCAGTTCCAACTGTACTGATTGGAACAGGATCCGGAAACCACCACTGCTTCATCTGTACCTTGAGCCAAACACGTAAGTGAAGCGAGAACCAAGCTGAGCCAGATTCTGCTCTTTTCTTTGAAACCTTCTAGAGTCAACTGCAGGAGAAGATGGGCTCTGAGGATAGCAGGGCTTTATAGCTCAACTTCATGTTGAAGTTATACGTCAGAAACCTTTTGATTCTAGCATTTTTGAAGTAGAAAATTGTATTGGACATGTCCCCTAGGAGAACTCCTTGCTGGGGGAGTGAGCTTGGGGTTGGGGAGACACTGGGCCAGGTGCAGAAGGGGGGACTGGACTGGACTGTTCGGCATACACTCCCCCTTTGTAGCTGTAATGCAGGTTGTTCCCTTCAGCTTTATGCAAAAACTGGCCCTACTTAGCAACATTGGTTTGATATTCTCTTGCCCACTGAAACATCAAATAAAACTGAATCTATACTGCAATTCAGCATATTTCTACTAAATTCATGTCTTGGAATTAAAAATATTAATCTGCTATTTGATACCTTCCCTTGTAAAAAAAAAATCTCAACATGTTTCTTTTGAATGCTGTAGGAGTTGTGTGTCCAGTTATATATCATCCTGGCCTAAAGGCAAAAGTTTCAATTTACACACAGAACTGCTGAACAGGCAGTATATGCGCTAACTCTGCTTGAAAGGCCAAACACATACAGAACTATTTTATTTGATCCAACTCATAGCAGCATATACGAAGCATGGGGCAGAGTTTATTTTTTAAAGTTACCATGGTCATAACTATTAATTAAAAATATTTGCCCACATCATAAACCCCAACAAACTAATAATTAGGGTTTTTCCCCCAAGTTTACCCCAAAGAATGTTATTCTTACCCTCCAAGGATTGCCAAAAAGGGGTGTTCTGGGCTCTCCAGAGCTTTAGCAAAATAATCCAGCTCTTTCTTCATTAGAAAACCAGCAGCTTTTTGAGACAGATTGACCCCAACCATGGAACTGTTGAAAAAGAGAGACAGATAATACAAATAAGCACCTGTGTCTGTTCGTTTGATCCTACAAAGGTAATTCAATTAAAACAAATCAATTCATGGGGCTGCCCTTGAAGAGTATTCGGCGACTTCAGCTTGTCCAGAATGCAGCCGCGCGAGCGATCGTGGGTGCACCTCGTT